ATTTGTGTGTAGGTGTCTACAAAGTCCAGAAGAAGGTGTTGGCTGTCCTGGAGTTGCCAGGACTTGGAAGCTGCCTGAGCTGTGTACTGTGTGCTGAACGTGGGTTCTCTGCAAGAGCAGAGTGCACTTTGAACCACAAGGTGACTCTCCAGCACCTGTTTTCAGACAGCATCTTGCTATATATAGCACAATTCGAACTCTTAGTCTTTTGCCTAGGCCTCCCAAGTAAGTGAGCTGTAGTTCTGTACCACCACACTCAACACTATACTGAATTTATTGGTTCAGCTAGTATTTACTGTGTTCTGCCAATAAAACTCCTTGCCATCAAGTTCAAAACAAAGTCCCTGCTGTTAACAAAAATGAGCTGTTATGTAAATACAAGAGCATAGTAAAGACCACAGTAGGGGGTTTGTGTCACAATAAATGCCGTTTCTAAGAGGCCGGGAGGAAAGGGTAATGTGTGTGTGTGTGTGTGTGTGTGTGTCGGGGCTTGTGTCACAATAAACGCCGTCTCTAAGAGGCCGGCGGGAGGAGAGGGCGGTGTGTGTGCGTGTGCGTGTGTGGTTTTTTTTTTTGTTGTTGTTGTTTTGTTTTGAGACAAGGCTTCTCTGTGCAGCCCTGGCTGTCCAGGAACTGGCCCTGTAGACCAGGCTGTGTCCTGGAACTCAAGAGAGTTCTCCATCTCTGCCTCAGAGTGCCAGGACTAAAGGCGTGTGCCACCTCCACCCTGCTTGGGATTTTATACTACTTAAAATTTTAACTTTTGAAGAATATTAGGTATAACTAAGCAATGAAAGTACGTTTTGGGCAAATAAAGCAGAGAAAAAAGGTATAGAAAATAAAGAGAGGGAGAGGTCTGGAGAATGTTGGTATTTCAGTGGCCAGACACGTGTGGGAATAATTGAGACTAGGAAGTTTAAGTCTCTTCCAGAGGTCCTGAGTTCAATTCCCAGCAACCACATGGTGGCTCACAACCGTCTGTAATGGGATCCGATGCCCTCTTCTGGTGTGTCTGAAGACAGCTACAGGGTACTCATAAATAGAAAAAAAATAAATCTTGAGAGAGAGAGAAAGAACTAAAACTTAAAAAAAGAAGAAGAAGGAGGAGTTTAAGTCTGGAAAGACAGTTTACGTGTTCCCCCTTCCTCCATGTGAATGCCCCAAGAACCGTGAAATCCACGAGTCTATTTGTTCCCTTGCTCATATTCCCAACCTGACTGTTTCCCTGTTTCTGTTCCTTCAATCATACCCACATGTGTATAAAGCTGGGTCATCTTCTACCAATCACAAAGTAATTTCACTCAAGCCAGGTGAGGTGGCTCCTGGCACTTGAGAGGCATACATGGAGTTCAAAGACCCTGTCTCATAAAACAAAAATAAAAGTAATTATCATTCTCCAAGCCATTTAGGTTTAAATGTGAAGTCATACTTAAAAAAAAAAAACTATATTACTACTACTAGTTAATGGGAATTCTTAGGAAGAAAAATTACTTACAGGCTGGTAAGATGGTTCAACAGGTAAAAGCTCTTGCCATGGAAGCCTGGGGACCTAAGTTAAATCTCTGGAGCCACATAAAGTGGAGGTGAGAACCAACTCCACGGTGTTGGTTTTCCGTGTGTGTGTGTGTGTGTGTGTGTGTGTGTGTGTGTGTGTGAGAGAGAGAGAGAGAGAGAGAGAGAGAGAGAGAGAGAATGTGTCCATGTGATCCCATGCACACACACACACACACACTGTGGCATGTGTGTCTGTGTGGTCGCATGCACATACAATACACTAACACCCTCAGCTACAGAGTCTGATGCTAGCCAGAGCAGCCCTGTCTATCTAGAAATATCTGTAATTTTTTGTTTGATTTTTGAGACAGGGTTTCTCCATGTAGCCCTGGCTGGCCTGGAACTTCCTATGTAGACCAGGCTGGACTGGAACTTAGAGCTCCCCCTGCCTCTGCCTCTCTCTTTAAGTACTAGAATTAAAGGTATGCACTATCACTGCCTGGCAAAATAAAATATCTATAATCTTACAACCACAACATAACATTTTATATATTGGGTGTTTTCTAAACTTATACACTACATATTTTATTGAAATCATGGCAAATAGCATGGGGCCTCCTTTTGATTGTGTTTATGTGTGTGTTATGTGCTTGAGTACATATATGTGCACTGTGTGTGTGCAGGATCCACTGAAATTCTTTGAAAAAAAATTTTAAGGGTGTATTTTACTTTTAGTCGTATTTGTCTGTGTCTGTATGCCACATGTGTATGGGTACTGAGACCAGAGGCATTGGATCCCCTGGAGCTGGGAATCCAACTCAGATCCTTTAGAAGAGCAATACAGGCTCTTAAATGCTGAGGCATCTCTCTAGCCTCTGAGAATTTTATAAAATAATTTTGATGGTATTCACCCCCTACGCCTACCCTTTAGCTCCTCCTAGATCCAGCCCTTCTCACTTTAATGTCTTTTTTTTTTTTTTTTTCTAATAGCCCACTGAGTCCAATTTGCATTGACTCTTCAAGACTGGGCAATCCACTGGAACATTGCAGTCCCAGCAGTAGCTGTGCCCTTAAAAACAAAACAAAAAAAACTCTTTCCCTTTCTCTTTCCTCTTTCTCTTTCTCTTTCCCTTTCTCCTCTTTCCCTCTCTCTTTCCCTCCCTCTCCCTCTTTCTCCCTCTCCATCCCCCTCCTCCTCCTACAAGGTCAGTTGTAGTCAGTTAGCAGTCAGAGGACAAATTGTAGGAGTTGGTGGTTCTTTGTGTGGAGACCCAGCTCAGGTTGTCCAGCAAGTGTGTGTTCACTGAACCACCTTCCAGCCCCTGGAGGATTTGTTTAGATGTTTTTTAATTAAGATTTTTTTTTTTTACGTGTTTGGATATTTTGTCTACATGTTTGTCTGTGCACCATTTATATGCAATGCCTATGGAGATCAAAAAAGGGTGTTGGATCCTCCTAGAGCCAGAGTTACAGACAGTTATTGAAACCTGGTTGCTGGGAATGGAACCCAGGTCTCTGGAAGAACAGTCAGTGTTCTTAACTGCTGAGCCATTTCTTCAAACCCTTGTTTGAGATTTTTTTTGACATTTTTGAAAGATGTATTTTACATTCTTATAAAATTGAATATAAAGTTTGTTTAATTTAGCTATCTATAAATAATACTTTAATTTTTTTGAAGGATTTTCTTTTTCTTCTTTTTTTTTTTTTTTGTTTTTTTTTTTTTTTGTTTTGTTTTGTTTTTCGAGACAGGGTTTCTCTGTGCAGTCCTGGCTGTCCTGGAACTCACTCTGTAGACCAGGCTGGCCTCAGAAATCCGCCTGCCTCTGCCTCCCAAGTGCTGGGATTAAAGGCGAAAGGCCACCGCCCGGCTGAAGGATTTTCTTATGCTAAAATCCTAAGGTTCGGATTACCTAACCAGAGGTGAAGTATTCGATCCCTTACTCCTCCAATACTCAGTGAACTCCTCCTACATATTATAGTTTGGTGACTATCTGGCATGAATGTCCTAGTTAGGGTTTCTAGTTTCCTCTTTTGGTTCCAGCCTGGCTCTTGTTATTCCCTGACATCACCTGTCTGACTCACCTGAAGAATTGTTTTACTGCTGGGAGCATGGCTCAGTGGTAGAAGGCTTACCTACTATATACCAGGACTCAGTATAGTGGTGGCCTACTATATACAAGGTCCTGAGTTCAGTCCCCAGTATCTCCTTCTCAAAAAATAAAGAAGGAACTCTTTGTTCCCTGTTTTCTTATGCCTAATACCATGTCTCTATTTGCTTTTTTCTATTACCTCCAACTGTTGTATCATATCTTAACCATTTTTTTCCTTTTAAAAGTTTTTATTATATTTTTGCTGGTTGATTGTGTTTTTAATTGCTGAGCCATCTCTCTGATCCTCTTAAAATATATTTAATTATTTTGAGTACATTTTATTTAGTGTATGTGTGTGCACATATGCCATGATGCATGGGGTAGAAGCCAGAGTCAGTTCTTTCCTTTCATCATGTTGATCCTGGGGACAAACTCAGGTCCCCTGGAACCTTTACCTGCTGAGCCTTAAAGCTTTTTATGGGGCTGGGGATGTAGCTCATTTGTAGCATGCACAAACACCCAGAACCATGTAAACCAACCCTGTATAGACTGAATTGGTTGTATGAGACTAGCCTAGGACACATTAGGCCCTGCCCTAAATAAACACACACACACACAATTATACTTTATTTTTATTCAGTACTTTGATCTAAGTAGGAATCATTCTTGGGCTCATGACATGGCTCAGAGGGGAAAGTGCTTGAGCAAACCTGAGACCCTGAGGTGATTAATTCCTGGGACCTGTGAAAAGATGGAAAGAGCTGACTTCTGAATGTTGTCCTCTTGATGTCCTCTTGGGCACCTTGTTATGTCTGTGTGTGCATACACACCCCACATACACATAAACAAACATGAACAAGTGTCCTTTATACCCATGTGTTTCTATGCCTTTGTAATCCATTTCCCCAAAAGTTTTTGTTTTTCAAAGTCTGAGTGAAATCTCTCCCTCAGTCTTCCTTGCTCTTCTCTGTGTACTTGGCTTGGCCTCTGACGGTCTGGTTTTTTTTTTTTTTTTTTTTTTTTTTTTTTTTTTTTTTTTTTTTTACTGCTTTTGATGTTCCCTTTGCCTTGTACTTAATCAAAATGCTGTCTCTCCCTGGTCTGTCTACACGTTACTTAAAAGCAGCAGCAGCTCCGTGGGGGTAAGGATAGTGTGCTAGTCAATAAACAACAGAAGATTGGAAGCTGCTCTGAGAAATGCCTTAGCTGAGTGGTCTCTATCATCTTGGCACTCAGGAAGTGGAGGTGGGAGAACTACAAGTTCAAGGCCTGCTTGGCCTTCATAGTGAGCCTTACCTTTCACTAGGCTGAATGGATGGGTGCTGGGGAGCTGTGCACATTTATAACACTTCTCTCACCTTGGAAGATGCTCGAAAACGAGAGAGACTAACTCCATCTTAACTTCTGTCATTTCAGGCAAGTACATTGCCTCAACACAGAGACCCGACGGGACGTGGCGCAAGCAGCGGAGGGTCAAAGAAGGATACGTGCCCCAAGAGGAGGTCCCAGTGTGCGTGGTTAGGCTTAACGGGGTTTTTAGTGGGTCCCTACACAAGTATAGCGTATTATGCCGTGGAGTTCAGGGATGAATCGACTGGGCCCGAAAGAAATGGAAAGAGGGACAACGGTCTCAGGAGAGGAAGGAGCTGGGAATGAGGGGTGAGTGGGGCTTTCCCCAACTAGTCTTGTTCCTTTGACCTCTCTTCTCCAGAATCTCTAGACAGCAATCAGGGGGCCAGAGCCACGAGTTCTAGAACTTTCCTACAGACCAGGGACCCTGAAGGGCAGAGAAAAAACGGGAATGTCCTGGGAAGGCGTGAGGTGGGAGGAGGCAGGCTGAGGTGAGTCCTGGAAGCTTTAGCATCTCTGTTTCTTGCAGATATGAAAACAAGTATGTGAAGTTTTTCAAGAGTAAACCAGAACTTCCCCCAGGGCTGAGCCCTGAGGCCACCACGCCAGTCACCCCATCCAGACCCGAAGGTGGTGAAGCAGGCCTCTCCAAGACAGCCAAACGCAACCTGAAGCGGAAGGAGAAGAGGAGGCAGCAGCAGGAGAAAGACGCAGAGGCCCTGAGCAGGACTCTTGATAAGGTGTCTCTGGGAGACACAGCCCAGACGCCTAGTGCTCTCCACGGCCCCCAGGCCACACCTATAGCTGCCTCTGATCCATCCGACTCTGCTGCCACCACAGAGAAAGCCAAGAAGATCAAGAAGCTAAGGAAGAAGCTGAGACAGGTGGAGGAGCTACAGCAACGCATCCAGGCCGGGGAGGTCAGCCAGCCCAGCAGAGAACAGCTGGAGAAGCTGGCTCGGTGGAGGGTTCTGGAAGAGGAGCTGGAGGACTTGGAGTTGGGCCTGTGAGGCTTCAGGAATAGGGGAGTGGACTGCAGAACAAACCATGGGGTGCTCTGGGGTCCAGGGAGTGTGGGCTGCAGCAGTCAGGAGGGACACCCCCATACTGGCTCACCTCCACCTCCTGTGGCCCGACTCCGTCCTCCAGAGCCTAGGCTCTCCTCCATCCCTTCCCCTTCCTCTCAGCTCCGGTTTTTGGACTTTCCCCTTCCGTCCCAGTGTTCACAATCTGAGTGCCGACCAGAGGTACTTCTGCTGCTGATCTGGGTGTCTTGTTGAAACTGGGGGGTGGGTGTCTGTTATAGATCTGAGGGTACAAGGAGTACCCACGTTTTGGAGTCTTGGTTCCTGTTCACAGTGTTTATGAGTTACTTCCCTGGCCATCCTGAACCTCTTCCTTAATTTTTTTTTTTTTTTTTAAAGAAAGTAAGAATAAATTCAAGTAGACAACATGTGGTGGTTCTGTTCACAACTCTTGTTAATGTGGTGAAAGAAGACACTGAAGTTTTAATGGTGCTAGGGATTGAACCCAGGGCCTTGCACATGGTAGCTCTCCCTCTGATCTACATCCCTAACCCTTTATATTTTAAAGTTATACTTGCAGCGGGTTGTAGTAGTACACACCTGTGGTAGGACTCTGGAGATAGGCAGGATTGCCAACATTCCAAGGCCAACCTGGTTGACAGGGTAAGACTATCTCAACAAAGTAACATGGCAAAGTTAAACCTCAAGTAAACACAAGTTAGCGTTGAAGTACAGTGGAATTTAAAACAAGACTAATTTGACAATAATGTATGTGTCACTGTGCCACACAGCAGTACATCTGCTGTGCCTTCCTCATTGCTTCTGAAGATAGCCGGTTTACTTCAGATGCTGGAGCAGCTTTTGAAATTTCACCTTGGATGCTGCCTAAGATGATGTCAGGGCAAAGTAATGACATGTCAAGACACATCCAGAAGATCTGCTCATCCCTCGCCTTATCCACGCTGCGCCTTTGTCACAGACCGCTAGGAACCATGGTCAGCTCTCAGGAATTCATAGGCCCTAGCTTCATGTGGAAGTCCTACCAAAATCAACCCTGTTAAATTCTTATCCTCTCCCAGTCCCATTAAAGCTTTTGGACCTCACTTTCAAACATGAGCTAAGCTACCCCATCTCTTGTGTGTTCCTCATGTCTATGCCCATGATGCCACACAAATGTGGAGAAGACATCCACCTTGTTCTTTGAGGCAACGATGCTTGTTAGGCCTAGGCTCGCTGATTCTGCTAGGCTGACTGGCACACGAGCCTCAGGGATCCATCTGTGTCTGCCTCCCTAGACCAGCTCCCCAAGGTCCCCACCCCTCTAGGGGTGAACCCAGCCTCTCGATTGTGTTTGACTGACTGAGCTGTCTTTCCCTAACTGTAATGGTTATCAAACATTATTATGTTTGCTTAGTTCTCAACCACCTTCATTAGACAGTGAGTTCCTCCAGCTCCTAAGCCAGTTGGTTAGTTTGAGACAGTTCTCATGAATGTCTGGCAGTGAAGACTTGGCCTGCATTTTGCAGGTCTCAGCGAGACAGGTATGTGGCCAACTTGCTTTCAGTTTTGCAGTTTCCCTCCACAGAAAAACATCTGTAAGGCAAGAGAATTCAAAACGTGATCCATGAAAGTGGTGAATTTAGAGCCTACCATCCTGAAATATGCCACTTTAGTATATTGGTTATATTAAGTTGAAGAATTTAGCTGGTCTTTGCTACATTGTGGGGGTCTTCTTTTTCCTACCCTTTATGCCCCCCCCCATTTCACCCCTATCACTAGATAGGAGAGGAAGGATAGAAGAGAGAGAGAATGGTAGAGATCTTTAAATCTAATTTCTTGTTTCTTCCTTGAGTATGACTACAAGCAAACTACCACCACCCACCCTGACTCTCAGGGTCCCAGCATTTATATAGCTTCTGAAAAGTTCCCAAGATTCCAAAGGCCGCACAATCACAGAAACTATCAGCAGATGGCAAAAACATGCTTCTGCTAGAGCATGAGGCAAATCATAGTCAGCTGCTGTGACACAGGCCCATATCCCCACATGTCTTAGTTCTTATTAGTGCAACAAAATACTATGTTACCTGGCATCTCCAAAACTGCTGGGGTCTGTTGCTGCAACTGGGCTGCACTTTCATCAGTAGCCTGTCATAGGCTCTTCCTGATGCCAAGCCTTAGCGTCTTTACATGACCTCTTCAGTCCTGGGCCTTCAACTGCCACTGAGGCTGCATCTTCATGAATGGCCTCTCCTGGCCCCTCACAGTGCCAAGCCTCAGCTGCTCTCCATGATCCCGTCATGCCTTCAAAACCAGTACCACCTGGGTACCAACTACCCAACTGGGTACCAAGTCCAGCTACCAACGTGAAGTTCAACTGTGGCTGCCTCTGGAACACAGCTGCTCTGTGCTCTCAAGAAACACTTCCCAGAAGATTTCGCCTTAGTGATGCCAGTCTCATTCATTGTCCCGGTAAAGTAAAGGTTTCTCTTTAGTAGTTCTGATATCGTGTTAATCACAGCTGATTCTTTAGCCCCAGCTAACCAGAACCATAGAATATTTGCAATCAAAATAGCAATGGCCCTGAGAGAGTCTTCCCTCTGAAATGTCACAAGCCAGGTCTCCGTCTTCTGCACTGTTCTCAACATTCTTATCCTCCAAGCTCCCACAGAACTTCCCAGGATGGTCACAGCACTCAATGGCTTTTCTAGCCCAAAGTTCCCAAGTCCTTCCACAAATCCTCCCAAAAACATGGTCAGGTCTGGACACAGCAATGCCCCACTAAGCTGGTACCAATTTGTCTCAGGGTTTCTATTGCTGTGACAAAACAACATGACCAAAAAGCAAGTTGGGGAGGAAAGGGTTTATTTGGCTTATACTTGCAAATCATAGTCCATCATTGTGGGAAATCAGGACAGGAACGCAAGCAAGGCTGGAACCCGGAGGCAGGAGCTGATGGAGAGGTCATGGAAGGGTGCTGCTTACTGACTTGCTTCCCCTGGCTTGCTCAGTTTGCTTTCTTATAGAACTCGGGAACACCAGCCCAGGGATGGCACCACCCACAACGTGCCAGGTCTTCCCTATGGATCACTAATTGAGAAAATGCCTTACAGCTGGATCTCATGGAGGCCTTTCCTCAACTGAGGCTCCTTCCTCTCTGATGACTCTAGCGTGTGTCAAATTGACACACAAAACTAGCCAGTACACCACACCTAGGATTAAAACGAAAACACATCCTCGTAATATTTCTGTGTTTTCAAAAGAACAGAATTCTAAAACTCCAGAATTCTCACTACGGAAGAAAAATACAATACTGATGCTCTTTGTTTCCTCTTTCTTCCTGAAAGCAGACCGCAAGGCGGCTTGCAAAGGTGCCCCCTCAGCCGGGCGGTGGTGGCGCACGCCTTTAGTCCCAGCAATTGGGAGGCAGAGGCAAGCGGATTTCTGAGTTCGAGGCCAGCCTGGTCTACAGAGTGAGTTCCAGAACAGCCAGGGCCACACAGAGAAACCCTGTCTCACCGGGAGGAAGGGGAGACAGAGATGGGGAACCAAGACTGAGAGAACTCCACCACAAACAAACCCTATGAGCTAGCTTTGATGCCACAAGCCTGTACTCTCAGCAGCACTTGGGAGATCAATCCTGGAGGATCAGGAGTTCAAGTCATCCTTGGTAAGGTAACATCCTCAAAGGTAAGTTTGAGGCCGGTTTGGGTGGTGTGAGGCTCAAAAAACAATCACAACAAAAATCAACCCCAAAAGGAAAGTTTATTTCCCACATTTCCACAACCACCCAATCTCTCCTCTTGTCACGTTTTCCTGGTTGATTTAACCTAGTGTATAAGCTCTTAGCCCTTGCTGCTTCTTTGTATCGTCGTTACCCTTGTGAAGGTACTGCACACATAAAAATAACCCAACACAATTTGCGTGCTTTCATCTGCTATTCTAATGCTAATCTGATTTTCAGACCCAGAATGTGAGAGAGTTAGTTGCTCTAGCTTGCTTTCTTTTTTCTTTTAAGGATTTTTTTTTCTATTTATATGAGTACAGTGCAGTTGTCTTCAGACAAACACCAGAAGAGTACATCGGATCCCACTACAGAGGGTTGTGAGCCACTATGTGGTTGCTGGGAACTGAACTTAGGACCTTTGGAAGAGTAGCCAGTGCTCTTAATCACTGAGCCATCTCTCCAGCCTTCTAGTTTGTTTTCTATGGCTGTGATAGAAACTTGACCACAACCAACTTGAAGAAAGGGTTTTTTTCATTTGGTCAACAGCCGATAAAGCGAGGCCAAGGTAGGAACTCAAGGCCACAGAGGATTTGGGCATGGTGGCCCATACCTACATCATAGCACTTGGGAGGTAGAGGAAGAAGGATTTATGTGAGTTCAAATTCAGCTTTGTTTATGAAGTGAGCCCCAGGCCATCCAGAACTACATAATGAGACCCAGTCTCCAACGAGCAAACAACACAACCTCACCACCAACAGCAACAACGGGACAGGATTGCTCACTGGCTGTACCCTGCTTCTGTTCAGCTAGCTTTCTTATGCAACCTAGGACCACCTAGGACAGTGGTTCTCACCCTTCCTAATGCTGTGACCCTTTAATACAGCCCCTCATGTGGTGGTGATGTCTAACTGTAAAATTATTTCGTTGCTACTTCATAACTGTAATTTTGCTACTGTCATGAATTACAATGTAAATCTCTGTGTATTTTTAAAATGATTTATTTATGTTATCAGTGCTCTATCTGCATGTACACCTGCATGCCAGAAGAGGGCATCAGAACCTACTAGAGATGGTTGTGAGCCACCTTGTCGTTTCTGGGAATTGAACTCAAGACCTCTTGGAAGAGTAGTCAGTGGTCTTAGCCACTGAGCCATCTTTCCAACCTTATATTCGTGTTTTCCTATGGTCTCAGGTGACCCTTGTGAAAGGTTCTTTCAACCCCCAAGTGATAATGACCTGCAGGTTAAGAACAAATGGCCTAGGACCTCCTCCAATTAGCTCAAAAAAAATACTCCACAGACACACCCATAGGCTAATTGGAGAGATTAGCAGGCAATCCTTCAACTGAATCCCTCTTCCCATCAGTGACCAAGAACAGGCATCATAGTGGTCAAAGAGAAACTTTATTTCCCCTACAAAATCAGCTGAGAAAGTCACAACCAGTGTGTCATTGCCGAGAGGTTTCTCACACTGCCTTGTGTGTAGCTGCCCTCTTAAGAAGAGTCACATGACTCATCCTGAGCTTATCATCCTGGAAAGAATCCCCTTTGATAAGGGCACAAATCCTATTAAAGGTTCCCTATCTCATGATCTTATTTAAATCTAATTTTCTCCTTAAGGTCTCATTTCCAATGCCATTGCAGTAAGAGTATAATTCAGCCCATATGTCCTCAGTGTGTGTGTGTGTGTAATAAATAACATGTGTGGA